GAGGAGCTGGTGCAGGACATGGAACACCTGTTCACAGTGAGAGAGTGACATCATACAAGACTTACTCTGATGCCCACTCAGCTTCATGGTGGACCTCTCCCAGAGGGTTCATCCCAAGTAGGGGATTAAAAACCCTAACACCAGCCAGGCGCGGTGGCACACACCTGTAATCCCATCACTTTGGGAGGCCAAGGCAGGCGGATCATGAGGTCAAGAGATCAAGACCATCCTGGCCAACATGGTGAAACCCTGTCTCTACTAAAAATACAAATATTAGCTGGATGTGGTGGCACGTGCCTGTAGTCCCAGCTACTCTGGAGGCTGAGGCAGGAGAATCGCTTGAACCTGCAAGGCGGAGGTTGCAGTGAGCCAAGATCGCACCATTGCACCCCAGCCTGGTGACAGAGCAAGACTCCATCTCAAAATGAAATAAATAAATAAATAAATAAACAAACAAACAAACCCAACACCCACACAGGTAATATGCTTCAATGTCTTAAGGGAAGGGAATTGTCTGCCAGAACCACCTTTTCTTCAATATCTCCTCAGGGGACAATCATGAGAAGGTTCTGAGAGTTGAGCTCCATGTGTTCAAACTCTGGCATCTGCACAAGAACACGCCCATGGCAAGAACTTCCACTATCACAGGGTAAAAGTTCCTAAGATCATGGATCTATGCCAGTGTCAGAGTGAGGGAGCCTACTTTCAACCAGGAATTTTCCTCTGACCCTTGAAGACTGGCTCAGATGGCGAGCAACAGGATCCTGAAAACACCTCAGCCCAGAGCTTTCTGGAACAGACTATGAAGCCACTAAATTACAGTTACCACATAACCCATTGGGAAGGGATCACAATGAAAACTGGAACTCATCTACCAATGAGGGAAAGACATTGGGGTTGCTGAAAGGACTATGTGTCTCTGCCATTATGCTGTATTTAGCCTCAGAGCTGGAGAGTCCCTCCCAGGCAGAACTGTCTGCAGACTTTATCTTAACTACTACAGGCAGTGGCCCCAGAGTGAAGTACACAGCTTGAAAGAAGGTGTGGTGGTCAAAAGTGTCTGTTCTGCATGATATTCCAGGGACATTTGCTACATGAATGGGAATATCCGATCTCAAGGCTATCAAGTCAATAGTGGCAAGATCAATGGCTTTATCCTCTTGGCCAAGCTTGTCCAACTCGCAGCCCATGGACCACATACGGCCCAGGATGTCTTTGAATACAGCCCAACACAAATTTAGAAACTTTCTCAAAACATTATGAGTTGTTTTTGTGATTTTTTTTTTTTCTCATCAGCTATCATTAGTATATTTTATGTGTGGCCCAAAACAATTCTTCCAATGTGGCCCTGGGAAGCCAAAAGATTGGACGCCCCTGCTCTGGGGCATAGGTCAACACCAAAGACTCTTGTGACCATACCCCAGTGCCCAGCTCCACTCACCTGAGGATGTAGCATGTGACAGAATGAAGAGGAGGGACACAACAGACATGAAGAAGCCTACAGCTCCGGGTTCTCATTCTGATAGTGTTTAACTCCCAATGTGAACTTGAAAAGTCAGTTATACTAGGCCGCAGCATATCCATCTGTCAAGTGGGATTGCCTTTACATCAGAATATTCAAGGGCCTAGAGAAGGCTCTGGGAAGAGGGATCTCACAGAAGTTTGGGAAAGAGCTGACTCATTTATCAATTTATGCATCCATCTTGGGTTGTAGCTTTTCTGCAGTTGTTACTCACCATGGTATCGCCAGGACTTAGCTGAGTGAATGGCATATAGTAGGCACTCACTATGCATCAAACTTTTAAAAAAATGAATTGCCTGAGGCTTCTGCACTCATTCAGTCTCTCAAAGGCCATGTAGGAGTTTTTCAAAGCTGGGAGAATAGCTGTATTTCTTTTGTGCCTCCCAACTTTCATCCCTGGCATTTAGTTTACAAACATCTTGTCTTGGGCCAAAGTCTGTAACACATCCTTTGCCTTCCCCACCTCCCTGCAGTTGGCTGTGAGGTGGGAGTTGCGTGTGGTTGGCTTGGGCCTGGTCATTCAGACAAGTGAAATGAGGACTCTTAACATCATTCCCGCTCTAGGACATGGGGTATGGTTCAGAGTGGAAGAAGAGGCAGATTTGGAAGCTGGAGTTAAAAATCTGGTTGAAGCCTACTAGTCTCGTCTGGGAGCTCTCTGCCTAGCCCAAGTCCAGGCTTTGGTTTATCTCCTGGACCAGTTCTAGAGGGGAGGATGGGGTGGAGGGAGGGACAGAGTAGGTGGAAGGGATCTAAGCATGGTAACTGGAGCTAGATTCTCCAGCTTTCTAGTGTCGTGCCTTTCACCAGCCTTCCTATGCCTTAGTCTACTATAAATGACAGAGACCTGGGTCCCATCTATGTAGGTCCAAGTGATAGGGCAATTGCTTTCCCCATGCAGTGGAGGCTGGGTCTGAAAGAAAAAGGTCATTTTGATAGTTACCATCCCTCCCTTTGATGGTCCTGCCTGAGTTCTAGTTGAGAGTGTGAGGGCTCTAATTAAACCAGAACCGGAGCTCTTATCTTGTCCTTAAGTTTTATCTGTGTTACCAGTGATAGCAAAAGAAAATGTCTTCTGCTATGGTCCAGTGTGGATGTATAGCATGATTTAGATCTAAGTGAAGCAAACTTAAGAAATTAATGACTCCTGATAACAAATCTCTCTCTATATGACATCATGAAGAAACCATTTCTTTGAAAATTTTAAAAAGAATATGACCTACACATTAATCTGCAGGGAAGTAGCAGATGAATTCACTTATCTATTCAACACAAGCAAACTAGTCATCTTTTAAAACAAAGATGTAGAATATGGAGGAAAACTTTATATCAATAGCTTTTCTGTGCATTTCAGTTTATTGTGTTTATTGTGTTCCGTTTATTATGTTCCAATGATTACAACTGGAGCAGTCAGTCCTGTTGCCACCCCTCACCCAACTCCTCCATTACTTTCAGGTAGGGCAAACACCAGCTAATCTCCCAATATGCAACATTCTTTTGTTCTTCAGAGTCTTAACTTCCCAGCTATATTGTAAGCACTTTAAAATCAAGACTCATGTCTTGCCCTTCATTTGTAGGAATTTTTAGCACATGGCTGGTTTCAATAAATGCTTGGGAGCTCACCAGTATTCCTCTCTCACCAAAATTATTCCATTATTATGCTTACATTGTATAATTATCAACCAACCAGCATAAATCAAAATAATTGTCTTTCAATTGGCTAAATAGATTTGTTAACACAGTGAAGAATTATTCACCAGTAAATGAATTAGCTTAATTTTTTTAAGTGCAGATCATAGATGAAACATCATGTACCCATCATTTTAAGGTATTGATATAAGCAAGAGATAAAGTCAGATGAAGGCCATGAATTCAGTGCTGCATGAAGGACAAGTTAATTTAAAAGCAAAGCAATCAATTCAGCACCATGCCAGCTGCCATGAGGGATAACGAAAACACAGTTCCCCTGTCTTCAAGGAGCTTTGAATCAAATGCAGGAGTCTAGACATGCATGGCAATTCGGAAAAAAACACAGACACTACAGATTCAAAACAAAATATATGGAATAAACCAACCTTTTCAGATAGAAACATTTCTTTTAAAATGATAGATTTTGATTTGGGTATATTAATATGTGAAATCACCAAATGCAAATGCTTTTCTTAAATCAGAAAACTATACACAACTAAATTTTTTAAAAATTTCAATGTCTAAATTATACATCATAAATTATTCAATATCTCAGAGATAAGGACTGTTACTATTTTGGTATATGTCTATTTAGAATCATTTTTGTTCAAATAATTGGCAATTTAAATAAAACAAGTTCACACCATAATATAGTTTTTAAGCTATTTACATTTAATAATATATTATGTACAAAAATCAAAATATGCTTACAAGCTGCAGATAATACAAACCCGGGAGGATATATAGTGGTGAAAGAATCACAGCCTAGAACAATCTAAAACAATTGCTCTAGGCTGTGATTCTTTCACCACCATATATCGAGGAGGGTCAAGCTAACAAGATTAAATTTAAACAGGGATACTTTTAAAGTCCTGAGCTTGGATTGAAGAACTTTAGGTCTTCGTTCCCTGTAAATATTTCTTGGCTTTCAAAATGCTGATGAAACCTAGGCTGTCTCAACAAAAGCCTGTGTCCATAAGAGGAGGGGAGCATCTCTCTTTAGGCTGTGCTGGTCTGACCATATACTGAGTTCTACACTCAGTTTTATAACCAATGTTGGTCAAGAGGACAATAAACAAGATGAAAACTATGTCAAGTGAGTCATAATTGCAACAACTAGACGTGCTTAGCTGTAGAAGAGGAGACTTTAGGCTCTGTGTGTGTATGTGAGCGAATTCTTGTTCACACATAGAGACAGCTACCCTGTGAAAGAAGGATTTGATGTATTCTACATAACTTCAGAGGGCAAAAATAGTGGATAACTCTGAGATAATCCTCACAGCATCCTAGAAGAAATAATTATATAAACATCTGAGCTATACAACAATGAACCAGACTGCCTTTGTGGTGAGGAGTTCCCCTTTCTCTGAAAATACTTAAGTATAGGTAGAAACCGTACAGAGATTCCTGCCACTGGACTTGAAGAATCCTGTGGTCCCTCCCAACTCTAAAGATTGTAAGACAAGGTGAAATAATATCACCAAACCAAATAACTTACACTTGATTTGTGGATTGGTGCATGTGTGTATGTTTGAGTAGAGTTGACCCTTGAACAATAAGGGAATTAGTGTTGCTCACTAACACTAATGCTCAGTGGAAAATCCAACATGTCACTTTTGACTCCCCCAGAACTCAACTACTAATACCCTACTGCTGATTGGAAGCCTTACTTATCACATAGTCGATTAACACATGTTTTGTATATGTATTATATACTGTATTCTTACAATAAAGTAAGCTAAGGAAAACTGTTATTAAGAAAATCATAGGGAAGAAAAAATGTACTTACTAATCATTGATCCAAGTGAAGGTGGGTCATCATAAAGGTTATTATCCTCATCATTTCATGCTGAGTAGGCTGAGGAAGAAGAGGAAGAGGAGGGGTTGGTCTTGCTGTCTCAAGAGGGGCAGAGGTAGAGGAGGTGGAGGAAGTGGAAGGCAGGGCAGGGAGGCAAGTACACTTGATATAATTTATACTGAAAAAAATCGACATATAAGTGAACTTACGAAGTTCAAACTTGTATTGTTAAAGTATCAAGGGAAGAGACGTATAAAATTATCTGCACTTTCAAATACTTGCATCGAGGGAACTTTCTTTTAAAAATATATCTTGAGCTTAAATCTAAAATCAGTTGCCTGCTTACTTCTCCATGATGAGGAGGAGAAAGACAGACTGAGCTTGAATTCCGGTTGTCCTTTATCCCAGCAGTACAACCTTGAGAAATAAGGTTAAACTTTTTGAGTCTTATCACACTTATTTCAAAAATAAGAACACAACAGAGAATCAAGGGAGCATTGGGAAGATTATGTGACTTATGCCATCACACTGTCTGATGCATATCGGTTGTTTAATATATAGTAATTGTTATTATTATTTCTATTATTATACTGGTCTTTGTCTTCCTTTTTCACCCCTTTGTCCCTAGAGTCTCTTCTCATTGTCCAACTTTATCTTTCAAGACACTGTTGGCTTATGTCTGTGTCAATATTCATCTATCTCATCCCTCCTATGATTCTGGAAGTGGTGTTTAAGGAAGATTAGAACCGCAAGGGTGTGTGGAGTGTAAAATGTAAACATGACGGTATAAGAGAGAAAAGTGAAGGAAAGAGTGCCGGAGAAGCAGAACAGGCCAGTTCTTTCCCCACCTCCAGTCCCTGTGTCCTCTCCCCACCTCCCTCCCTTTCAAAAAAGAGAAACAGGAAAGAAGGTCAGTGGAGGGAAAGATACTGTCAAAAGAACAGAAGTGGAAACATTGGATCAAGGCAGGATCTCACACTGGAAGGGGCCAGAAGGAAGTGAGAAGCAACAGACAAATCGCCGGGCCTCGAGTGAGTGGGATGAAAAAGATAGATGGTCTTAAAAAAAGATAACTAACGAGTCTCCGATAACTTCAATTTTCTGGGCCTTGGTGAGCTCTGCCTAATCTTCAATTAAATGGAAATATAAATAGCTGAGAAAGAAGCCAGTGGATGGGAACTGACATAATGGACTATATTGACTCTCTGAGAGATATAAGGGACCTTCTTAAAAGCATAATATTTTACACGATCATTTGTCAGCCTTCCTCTGGGTGAATGATCTCCTCTGGGGGAGGTAAGTGGATTGGCTGATCTTAGTGTTTTGTTTAAAGTGCACCCTGCATTGTGCTAGAAATCAGTTCGCGTTACTGAGCAAACAGGGAGAGGGAAGGAACACAAACACACCCACCGCTCTTTCTTTCTCCTGAGAGGCCTTATTAGCCGATTGCTCATCTGAAGATCCAGAAACCACTTTTCTCCACCTGCCATTAGGCTCTTTAACTCATCTCCTTCTCCATCAGAGCCCTTGTTTGAAGGAACCAAATTGTTCTTACCTTCCTGCTCTCACAGGGTGGAAATAACCCACAGACCATCTAGGCATGTACCCCATTGATATCACCTCCTCACTCCACCCCAATTGTCTACCCATAGTAATAGGCTTAGCTCCATGAACTTGGCTCTTCTACTTCTGTACTTAGTGCTGGGGGTGTCCCTGACTCCCGGCCTACAGTAATCCTCCCCTCTCTTTCTCATTATTGTCTTCACCAACAGTTCTCCAGATTGTCAAAAAACCCAAATCCAAAGACCCAGGAGGAATTTCCAGGATCAGAGCCCAAGGATCTGTACTTTCACAAGTTCATGGATGATTTTAATGCATAAAATACTTGGAGCACCACAGGGCTCTGAGTGATTTGTTTAGGACTTATTCTACATTGCCATGTCTTCTTGTATGTTAACTTTTCACGAGTTGGGCCTAGCCACCAAAAGTGAACTATGATCTCCTTCTTGATATTCCCCTTCCCTTGCACATTGAGAGGCGCCCAGAAAATGTCTGCTGGAGATGATGCTAGTATAATTTGGGTTTTGGTGTTAATTTTAATAGCAGCAGGTTGAGGACATGCTGGTTTTTCATGACGCTATCTTACTAATATCACAAAGCCTACCCATCACTTACTCAGCCCTTGAAGATTTGTCCTAGGGATTGGAATGTTTAGAACTTCCCATCCAGCTTTCCTTTCCAGCTTGTCCATCCTCCCCACATCTAATGCAATAATGCTAATGATCTCTCACTACCAACAGCAACTTAACTCCCTAAGGAGAAAAAAAATCACCTGGTGACCACTGAACAGGCCCTGAGGACAAAAACTTCTTGCAAAATTCCTCATCAAGGGAAAAGTTGAAGTAATTAGACTTTCCTATTATCTAAAGCAAGCAACTCACTCCAGATTTCTTACCCCGCCACTGCTGCTGAACAAACTTATAAGTGACTAAAATTTCTATACGTCTCTGGAATGCCATGCAGAAACTCATTTTACAACCTTAAGCTCCCACTTTAAGGCCCATAAATACCCCTAAGAAAACTCCAAGGCAGGGCTCAGTCCTACAGCTGAGGCACGCCGCTGTACTCTTCTGCAGCATTCATTCTTTCTTATAAACTTCCCCTTTTCAAACCTATACAGTTGTTGGTAATTTTTTTTGCCAGCCTGTGAGTAAACCACTTTCCAATGCCATGGCTCTGACACCTCTCCTGGCATGCCCAATGCTTCTGATACTACCTCTGTGAAATGATTTTTGGGGGTGACAATTACCATATGACCAAAGTTTTCATCTAAGTTCTTCACTGTCTCCTATCACTTCATCTCCCAAGAGAAGAGAAATCTAGAGAGAGGACAGAGACAAAGGTCCTGAAGCAGATAAAAAGCCATCTTTGATTAGAGACTGTGAGAGTCCATTTTATCTCAACTTAACTGGGCTAAGAGATGACCAGGCAGTGGGTAAAACATTATTTCTGGATGTGTCTGTGAGGGCGTTTCCAGACAATATTAGCCTTTGAATCAGTACACCGAGTGAAGAGGATCTGCCCTAACCAATGTGGGTGGGCATCCTCTAATCCATCAGATGCCAGAATGGAACAAAAAGATGGAGGAGTGGATTTTCTCTCACTCTTCTTACGCTGGACCATCCATCTTCTCCTCCCCTCAGATATCAGAGATCCTGTTTTTCAGGCCTTTGAATGCCAGGGCCTATGTCATCAGCTCTTCTGGTCCTTCCGCTTATAGACAGAATATTGTGGGACTTCTCACCCATCATAATTGTGTGAGCCAATCCTACAACAAATCTCCTATCTATCTATCTATCTATCTATCTTCTATCTAATGTATCATCTTCTATCTAATCTATTTTCCATCTACTTCATTTATCTATCTTTTATCTATCTGTCTATCTATATCTAAACAAATCTCCTCTTTATCTATCTTCTTTTTAATTTATCACCTCCTATCGATCTAATCTATTTTCTATCTACCTCATTTATCTACCTTCTATCTATCTGTCTGTCTATCTTTGTCTATCTATTTCTATCTATCTATATCTATCCATCCATCCATCCATATCTCCCATTGTTTATTTCTCTGGAGAACTCTGACTCATATAGGAACAGACCACATAGCTCCAGTGAAGTGACTAAAATGGTTGATCACATAAACCCATAAAGAAAGAGGACACATTTGTTGGAAAATAATTAATTCTTAGGTCATATTCATACACATTTTCATTTTGTGAATGGGAATTAAATAACTTCGAGGTAATTTGAGACATATAAAAGCAGTCTCAAAGTCTGAGCTGGCAATATTAAACATGTTTTCAATAAAAACATAAGATATTTGATTGTGTACAAAGTGTTTTCTGTCCGAATCACACTTTCACTCAGACTGTGGCTCCACTGAAAATTAGAAAACTTCCCTACAAGTCCATCTGCACCCCAATGAGGGCAAAGGTACAAAATGCAAGAGTTGATTTTCTCTTTCACTTTCTTGTCACTTAATTCTTATTGTCAGCAAACAGAAAGGCTGGTGGCTATTTACAATTAATATAGTTTCAATATAAAAATTCTTACCAGTTGACCCAAGAGTTTACTTCCAGGATCCAGGTGAATTGCCATCTGTGAAAATTTACCAGCTCTAAATCCTACCCATGCTGAGTTGAGTCCAGTGCCAATCTTAACAAATAGGAGTGCACACTCCCTTTTCATTCTTTGCTTCTAAACCCTCAGAGAAAGGCGTGTCATTTTTTTTTTCTCTTTCCTGCACTCAATTTGCCATTTCTACTTCCAGTTCTGAAGTAGAACTCTTTTCCCCACCTCTGTCTCTCTTTAAATTCTACCTGTACTTCAAAGCTTGGTTCCAGTGATATCTTTTTTTACAGGGCTTTCTCCAACAACTTATCCTCACAATGATTACCCCGTGTTCTTTTAAATAAGACTTTACTGAGTCATCTACACAGATTACCTCTCTGGTCTTTATTTCTGATGTTTGTGCTTTGTCTCTTCAAGTAGATGCCAGTATGTCTAGATTTTGATATCAGAGAGGCGCATCTTCTCACAGACTAGTTTTGTGACCTTAGGCAGGTTACTTCTCCATGCCTCAGTTTTCTCTCTCTAAAATGGGGAGAATGTAACACCCCATAGAGAATTACAGTGAGGATTGACTGAAGCAATTGTTCATTAAGTGTTAGATATTATTGATGTTAAACAGTCCCTTACAGAGGTGTCTGGCTCAATGTCACAGTAACATGGCCTCACAGCCCACACGTAAGTCTCTAATTGGCATGACCTTTTTCTCCAGCACCTGATCTAGTCTGTTAGCTTTCTAGAAAATTCTCAAAGTTCATGGTAGAATAAAGTTTTGCCATATATACATAAGACACGCAATATACACACACACTTATAGATATCCATATACTTCTTCCTACTTTCTAAAATTAAGTATTTAAGATGGAAACTGAAGTTGTCTAACAAAAGGAAACTGGCTCCCAAGAAATACAGGCACATTACTTGGGTAATCCCCTGTACCTACTGAAAGTGCCATCCGGGCTGCTTCAGAAGTTATAATCCTGGAAATTGTATTATTGTACTTACCCAACACATGTTGACTTGGAACAAAAATCTTTAGTTGTTCATATCTAGCTTTATTTGTAGGCAGCCGAACAGATGTGCAGGAGTTGAAGCCTCTGTCCAAAACACCTCCCTCATTTGTTGTGGAAGTGCCAATGGGGGCTTATTGCTCTGGGATAAGGCTGCAGATATCTTTATTAGAGAAAAAGCATCTATGGTGCTGTTAAGGACTGAATTATGCCCCCCTCCAATTCATATCTTGAAGCCCTAATCCCCAGTATAACTGTGTTTGAAGATATAGCCTTTAAGGAGGTGATTAAGGTTAAATGAGGTCATATGGGTGGGGCCCTAGTCCAATATGACCCATGTCCTGATACAAGACAGACACCAGGAACGTGTATGCACAGAGAAAAGGCCACGTAAAGACACAGCAAAAAGGCGCTGTTTGCACACCAGGAAGAAAGGCCTCAGGAGAACCACACCCTGACAGCACCTTGATCTTGAACTTTTAGCACCTAGACCTGTAAGAATATTAATTTCTGTTGTTTAAGCCAACAAGTCTGAAATGCCACAAAATGTGCATTCTCCATGTTAACGAAAGTGTCTTCAAATAGACCAATGAGTGAGACCCCGGACAGTCACCACGGAGAGCAGCTGACAGCACTGAAACTGAAAACAGGCCAGTTTAGCTGGAAGAAGGGGTACTGAAAGTAGATGGGAAAGACCATTTCAGCATACGGACTGTTGTCGAGGGAAGACATATAAGAACAAGGTGCTAGAGTGGGCAGCCCTGGGCAGTTGTTTTTTCTAGGGACAGTGGGGCTTCTGCAAATGAGAGGGTTGGAGGCTGCAGGTTCAAGACAGCCCTTCGCTTGCAATGCACTCTGACCATGGCAACATTGTACCAGGGGAAGGATCAACCATAACCAGAGGGTTGTGTCCAAATATCTACTCAGCGGACTATCTCAACAGACCCTGAGCCATGCTGTCTGCAGTCTCTTAAAATGTTTTAGAAAAATACAGTCAGAGGAATTCCTGAGGATGATGAGGTCAGGGCTTGAAGGGGGTCAGGACACAGAGTATGGTGTTTGGAGAATTTTTTAACTGTTTTTATTCCACCATTGCTTTTCCAAGCACACCTAAACACCACCCACATGCCACTCCCATACGATGGTCCTGGTTTGGTAGCCCAGAGACCTGAGTTCAAGACCTACCTAAGGGCTGGGTGCCGTGGCTCATGCCTATAATCCCAGCACATTGGGAGGCCAAGGTAGGAGTATTTCTTGGACCCAGGAGTTCAAGACCAGCCCGGGCAACATTACAAGATCTCGTCTCTACAAATAGTAATAAAAATAAAAATTAGCCAGGCAGGGTAGCATGTACCTGTGGTCCCAGCTACTCAGGAGGCTGAAGTGGGAGGATCTCTTAAACCTGCCTGGTCAAGGCTGCAGTGAGCTATGATCACACCACTGCCCTCCAGCCTGGGCCACAGAGTGAGACTCAATCTCAAAAAAA